TTTTAGGACATTTTGTCAAAATATACTTCAGTTGACTGGAAAAATATTGTTTTTCTGTATGACATTGTATTGTATACCTTTGGGAGGTATGAAGAATAAGATCTGTTTTAGGATCTGTGTTTCTTTTTGGCATTAATGTGGTGTATCATCATATTTGGAGCCTCAACAATCGATTTGACTCATTGTGCCTTGCTTAATAAACACAAACAGCCAGCTGTAGATCTGCTTCTTCTCATGTGTTCATGGTGGAAAACTATCACGGCCCATTTTACTAATTTTGAATCAATCGCCGTCTGGTTGTGTCTATTATTGACTATTAAAGCAACCCAATTCAGCATAGGTCACCAATACATAAGCATATTGAAGGTGTTTAAAGGCTTCAAAAAGCTCAGTCACAGATGGAGAGAGGTAGTAGAAGGCCTGTTTTAAAAAGCTGGAATACGTTTAGATAATTTCAATCACTCTTCTTGTACTTTGAAAGTAAAAACAACCATTTTTTAAGCAATAACATTTGGGAATATTTTTGCACCCAACACATCCAATGTCTTGAAAGTTTGTGGTCTTTGGATGGAAAGTGATTTTTCAACATTTTGTGAATTCATTTTGGATTTTCTTTGGACTTTCTAACAGTTTTGAGTGCAGCCTGATGCATGAACCAGTTTACTTAGTGCATTCTATTAGATTCATGATAGATCCTGCTGAGTTTGTGGAGTTGTTAGATGTTTGTTTTTTTCTAATTTATAATGCTAACTACTCATTGTTTGCTAACAAGCCATTAGTAAGTGGGTAGCTAAAATTAGGAATCTTGACGGGCCCGTTGACTAAAAGTCATGAAATAAGAACTGAGATTTTCAAGCATATTGATACAGTGTATTTTGTTAATTCACCAATACTTTAAACAAATAGGCTAATATAATAGAACAGTGCAAATTAGTGCATATTAGTGTTGCATAGTTGTGTTGAAGGTGTGGCCTAATCGAGCAAAAAGTCCTTTGAATATTTGCAATGAACTGCAGGCAGAAAACTACAGAGATATGTCCCGTTTGCTGGAAGACTGTCAAGTCCAGAAAGCCCATGAGGAGAGACTGAACTTAGATAGTAAAGGTAAAATCCAGGGTGAGCAGCTGATTCACTTTGCCATCAAATAAGCAACCCTGCAAAGGGATTCGCCACACTTCAGGAAACCGCTCTCCCTAAGGAACTGTCCCACTCCGTTAGCTGACATTTTAATCCAGCAGTGAGCACGCTCATGACTTATTAATGGCAATTACAGTCACAATCATGTTCAAACCCCGAGTACAGCAGCATGACTTAAAACATGACATGGCAATTCATATTAATTAACGCGTGGATTTCCTCATTCATTAACGTATTACTGACTCCAGTGAGATCACTTCCCTCCAGATGGTGAACAGCGCACGGCCGGCAGCTGTCGCAGGAGTGTGTGGGAAACAGAGGTGAGCTCGCTACTCACACTGAGAGCAGGGCACGTGCCAATAACCCTCCCTGGCTTTTGGAGACCCGACGAATTGTCCTGATAAACTGTAAGCCGAACAGGCCTGGAGTAAAGATGACGTCAGAAACTTAAACACCACACAAAATTTGTGTAGTTTTTATTTAGACATATGCTTGATTTGAGCTTTTGGCTCATCACTAAAACCATAATGTCTGGACAGGAGTTTTTTATGCTGCCTGTAAAACACTTAACGGATGGTTCCCGCGTGCGCTGTAATGACGGGGGCGTGTGCTCGGTTAAAGTCATTGATCTCAGCGACAGGTAGCAGATAAGCTTTCTCTGCAGGGCCACCGCTTTCCCACATTCACACAGAGCTTTGTGTGTGCCGGCACCATCTGCTCCCCCGAGACCTCGCCATTATCCTCCAGGCGATAATGACAGCGTGCCGCTGCCCCACAATCCTCATTGTCTCTCCCGACTCTGTGATTGGTTCAGACTGTGGGAAACTCCAGCTAAACCAAGACCCACAAACTCAATGGAGACTTTGGGGGGGGACTATAAATGGGAGGAACGACAGCCAAAGAGATCAGATCCTGTCTCGCGCGAGACCTCTAACGCACAGAGCTCCAAAAAAATGGCACCCACAATCACTCCGGCTATGGCAAGTTCTCAGGAGCACCTTGCTTTGAACCACAAGGTAAACATTGGTCTCACAAAGACGCATTTGCGAACTGAAAATGAAGTTTTTATCAGTGCGAACATGGACGTTTGTTGATACTTTATTGCCCTCCCGTGCAGCTCAGGAAGCCTCTGGTGGAGAAGCTCCGCCGAGAGCGAATCAACAGCAGCATCGAGCAGCTCAAGTCCCTGCTGGGTCCAGAGTTCCTCAACCAGCAGCCGGACTCCAAGCTGGAGAAGGCCGACATCCTGGAGATGACGGTCTGCGTGCTGACGCGGCTGCTGCAGCAGAGAAAACCGCTGAGTCGGCAGCAGCTTTCTTCTGAGACGACCACCCTGAACGAGGCCGGAAAGGGCAAGAGCCCGGCCAGTGAGGCTCCCTGGAGGCCGTGGTAGACGCCGTGGACCTCCGACCCGAGAGCTGAAACTCCGATTTCAGACTGGATCGAACTCTGTGACTGTTCACTTTGCTCTTCTGTGCAAACGGGAGATCGTGTGTGCATTTAAGTTTAGAAAGAAAATAACATGTTGACATGCACGTTGCTTGTCCGAAACCCTGATTGCATGAGCAATTGTTATCATTCATACTACTTCATGTATGAGTGGTTTTGAAGTCATACTACTCTGTGTGTGTTATAATCCCATGGAAATACGTGTTTTGATCTGTATGGTCAGAAAGAAAAAACATTCTCCCTGTTTATTTTAATTTTTCGAAATGTTTATCTATTCAGTGAATATCCATGTATGCATGTGATCATTCTCCAATGAGAACTACTTTACTCTGAAATATTTTTTGACTGCTTTCATGGACCAAAAGCAGGCGGTCTTTTATAAAGACTGCTGTGTATTTTAGCTCAAAGTTCAGCTCTGTTTTAAAGTTGTTTTTGTAATGTATCATTACCTTTGGTTTAAGCTTTTTGCGCTTTCTGTGGCTCACTGTCCCGTGCTGAATAAACAAACCCTATCAGCCCAAGACCTGTCTGCTCTCATTATTCTGACTGACTGCCACGTGCAGAATGATCCATGAGGGATTTCTCAAACAAACACAATGACATCAAAGCAGGCTCGGAGGGAATAATTATTCAGGAATGTTAATGCATTTTTTATTCATAACTCTTTAACTCAAGCTGAATTCTTATTCAGCGTCACTTATTTTGTTTTACTTTACAATAAGAAAAAATGCTTATAATGTCCATTAAGGAGACACGTTGCTTGCATACATGTGACTATTACATTTTTTTTAATTCTGGGACTCAGACTTCTTAATTTTGACTGATATTCTCCTTAACTCTCAAACTTTGAGAAGAAAAGAAAACTAAGGCAAAACATTTCTTTGTCATGTTTCATATGGTGCAATTACAAAAAGAACCAATGCTTTTCTCACATATAGTAGTCAACACGTTTTGATGAACACGCAGAATTTTGCAAAAGTCGAGGCGTGATGTCATTTAGCATCACATTCCTCTGTGGAGGATGTTCTGTCTTCTCAGAGCATCGTCAATGAAAAATGTGTGAATAACTCGGGAGGCTAGAGGATGAATGGACAGGAGGGAGGGACTCCACAGGCATGGAGTTTAGACACATGGATGCTGACATATTCAGCAATAAATCCCCAGTTTGAATCCAAGAAACTTTAAGCCTTTTACTTATGTCATGAAGATTACTTTCTCCTGTTTTCTTCCCCTATCCATGTCACCAAAGTGTAAAAAAGGCCCAAAACAAAATGATTACAGTCAATTTATATCGTGTGTGGCTCAATTTAAATTTTCAAGACAGACTTAAACTTCAGTACACCTGCCTGCAAAAACATTTAAAAGGTAATATTTATTTAAATTTTTTATATTGAAATGAGAGTATTTTTATAATTGATTTTTTCTATAGATGTTCTGAGGTGGCCTGTTTCAGCCTCTTTCTGCCCTCTGTTTGTGCTTTGATGGTCATTCTAAAATGCGGACAACCACTAAACAACCACAAACACACATTTGGATAGTCTCAGGTGGGTTTATCACACGGCTTATCTCCTCTCCACTTGCCTGTGGGTCAATCTGGTGTCTGTGTAAGGGGCTCAGGTTTCCCATTTCCCCTCCGCAGAGGCCCCCCCGGCTCCCTGCGCAAGGCTGAGCGTGCCCCAGTCACACGCCCTCCGCTTTCTCTGCTGCTGGGAGCCACGGGGACACACGGCTTCCCACACTTCTGTATGCAGCCTGCTCGGCACGCACAAAGGAAGTGTGTCTGCTCATGAAAAGGCTCGGGACCCGTTCTCAGGCCGGGAGAGCACAGAAGGCCACTTCTCAAATGAACCATCTGGTTGGGCTCAAGCTCACTGCTGGGACATACAGGCAGATAATGTTGAAATATTAAAGCATTATTCTGTCATGAGAGACTTTAAAAAAAGGTTTTCATGTGAAAAAACTTTTTTTTTTACTTTAAGAAGAAGCAATGTTCATGACTTATTGGAAAGTCTTATTATTATCTAATAAATTATGAGACTTTTTTTTTACGTGAACCTAAAACATTTTCTTCTTCCGTTATTTGCAGCTATCAGTTCAGACTGAAATATGTTTTCACAATTAGTGGTGATTCTTCTATTAAAATGTTATTCTATTAAAGGGAATGTCCCACGAACTCTCACGGTCAGTGTCAAAGTTCAAGAATCAGAGGGGAACCAAATTTTCCCGTGTCCACCTCATGGAAAACACTTTCCCACTGACCTCAGTGACGGGCGCCATTCAGATAAAAGCGTCCCACCTGTTCTCCATGACAGCCATTAAATCCAACCCCATTGTGTGGCGTCTTGGCGTCCCTGATTGGCCGGAGCGGCTGTGAGAGCGCGGGCGGACGGCATAAAAACAGAGCCGGGACGCAGATGAAAACACAGAAATCAGCCTTTGCAACCTCTGCAAACAACGCCAGAAGCCTCCCCAGAACAGAAGGAACCAAGCTCGACATGGCTCTCTACACAGACCTCGCTCTTCAGGACACCGTGAAGGAAGAACTCTTCAGGTGAGCTGAAATTACTTTTAAAAATATCTGTGTTCATAATGTGAATATCCAGATGTCTTTAGCTCCTGTTGTTGGACAGATTAGGATATTCACAGTCTCGTCACTTTGTTTTTTCTCCCAGGTGCAAGCTCCACATGCTGGAGAGGAAATGCTGCACGGGAGTGGAGAAGCTGAAGGCTCTCGTCGAGGAGCACCTGCAGAACGGTTTCCCCATTTCCGACATGCTGGAGAAAACCAAGTCCCTGCTCACCCTGAGAAAAGTTCTGCTGTCGCACAGCGGCTACTCCAAATACTCCAGGGACATTTTGCGCCTGTTCCCAAACGGAGAGGAAGACGTGGCTCCGCTGTGCTGTTAGAAAGCAGAGATGGACGATAGAAAAAAAAAACAGCCGGACGCCGGAATGGAGCTGCTTCAGTTTTATGAACAGTGAAGTTCAAATCTAGGGGGATGCCGCTTGCATCTGAGAGTTTAAAAACCCACTCAAATGCATTTCTTTTGCATTATGACGGGAAGACACTCAGGAGGCTTTTTTAAAAAAAAAACATTTTCTAGAAGACTGATTTGGGTCTTTCAGAGAGATGATTGGATTCAGAGTCACAGTAAAGTGAATGCTGACTGAGCAGAAAACTAGCCCACTCATGATGTGCTGCTATTTGTGAGCTCATTGATTCTTATAGCTGCTATTTCTGTTTAGATAAGACCACAAGAGACGTCCAGTCTCTTATCTATGCAAGTTTTTTGTTGTTGTTCTTATATAGTTTAATTTTCCATGAGAATTTGAACCATTTAACTTGATGAACTGGAACATTGCCAAACAACACAATGTTTCCTCTGATGACTGTGAAAACACCGAATGGCCTAAAAGTGTGTGATTGCACACTACCTTTTTGTACCTTACCACCTTGTTTCAAGGTATTGTCTTTGTATATCCTTAAGTACCAACCTTTTTTTCTGAAAAGGGATTCATTAATGTTTTGTGTATGCTGTGTATGCATGTTTTGTGTCTCTCATCAGTTTTGTTTTTATTTATCCAAAGTGGATTTTGATGTGTGTTTTTGTGTTGTTGCATATTCTGAGAAATGGAATATCTGAAAAATGAATGTCTTTTAATGAGACCATGTTTTAATTTACCTTGGTGGAATTAAAATTGAAAAAAATAATCATTTTACGTGCTTCATTTTTTATAGCTCTTTAAACTTTTAGGGAAAAGAGTTGCTATTCACCTTGCTCTGATTCTTCGATGAACACAGTACAGTTTCAGTCACCATGACCCGCTATGACACTTCCCTTTAACTTTCAGTCCTGGATGGAAGGATGGATGGAGGGGTGGATACTTTATCAATCCTGAAGGAAAATTTAAAGATCCCGTGTCTTCAGTACAGAGCCATGCATGTCACATCATTTTAAAGAAACAATGCAAAAGAGATACTGCCATCAGATTGGCCAAGTGACAACATAGATTATTCTGCTCAAATTCATCTTTGGTTTTTAAAGGCTCAACCAATGCACAATTTTAATAGATTCTTAAAGATGATGAGCCTGAATGAATGCCTAGATATCAGCATAATGAGATCTGAATGAAAAAATATGACACGAGCAAGATTTCCTCTCTTCTAAACACTTTTGAGACATAGTGTTTTGTACTTTTTACATCACATTTTACACTGATAATGTGAATTATTAAGTGTCAGTCATAGGCTCGTGGCAATTAATGATGATATTTTAAAAATGCCATAAGTAAATGCTATTTTTAACCCCTATGATGCTGTATGTATCAGATTTGTTACATACAGTTTCTGACATATTTTGCATCTGAGACCTTTGTATCACTTCGTGGTAAAGACTGTGGTAAAAGCCTGTTTTACACAATCTGAAATATCAGACATAAGTGGCCAGTGGACTACATCACAATCATTTTGATTAAATAATTGAATAAATATGTGTAAGTGAAAATTGTTTTTGGTACATTTTTTTCATATTATATTAAAGTGCCAAACAAAGCCTTGAGAGCAAAAATGTTTTAATTTTCCCACCATCTTAAGGACAGGCCCTGAAATCCCTCTGAATCATCATTATGATTGTGATTTTTCACTATAATGTGACAGATTTTTGTGACCAGCATCTTTTATCTGGAAGCAGATTCTGAAAGTGTTGTAGCCCTGCTGTTCATCAATCACCTGAGCAGCTTGATAAAAGTTAGACAGGACAAAAGTCTTGTTTTTTTTGTGATTGTTTTAATGCGCATCACTTGGCTTGAAGAGATACATTCATTGTGAGACATTGTACAAACAAGAAGCCCTTCATTGAAGGTATGGCTGCGGTCACTCATAGAGCTATAAAGCCGCACATTTGTCTTTAACATGATTGAAGACTAAAAAGTACCTATCGATCAGAAAGGTAAGTGGAATCCACATGTAAAACATGCTCAACATGGAAAAACTTTTGGCTACGTGGAGCTAAAACATTGCTGTTAGTGTTACCAACGACGCATAGACTCTCACTTTGAGAATTAGCATGTCTACATCACAGAGTAAAAATCTTCATCAGAAATATGTCACTATTTAAAAAGAAAACAGTACAATTTCAAATATATCGAGGAAAATATCACAGACGCTCCCAATCAATCCTTCACAAAAGGTTAAATAAACATCAGTTCCTTTATAAAAGGTTATATAAACAAAGTGACTCTTGTAAATAAGAGAACCATCATAATGAGATCATGTAAAATAAAATTAGCACTCGAACGCATGACTTTTTAAAACTTCTTCAGTGTCTACCACGGCCTCCAGAGGGCGCTGCTGTCTGGACTCT